AAAATAATACTTGTATTTTTCCCCTTATGAATTTTACACACAAATGTACATTATTACAAATTATTACAAATTACATGCATTGCCAATTATTATTATTATTATTATTATTTGAAAACTGAACAAAAGAAGAAAGGAAACTAGTGAAAACAAACTAAAAGTCCTTGATAATGAAACTAACTAAACAGAACCATGACATTATTATTATCATATATAATTAGTATTATTTATTTGTTTGGTTGTTTAAAATACTATTAATTTATATTTTGTTATGCCTTGATAAGTATATTACATACAGGGGCCACACAGTTGTCAATATTTGTATATTAAGGATACTTAAAAATGCCTAAAATTCATTGTATCGCAAACAACATATCAAAACATCTGACTGAAAAAAAAACATAATATTTTCTGTAGTGAACAAATTTTTCTGTAGTGAACAAATTTATCTTGTCTAAAGGACTTAGACAATGTTCCAATTGTTTTTTTTTTCTTTCAAAAATAATACTTGTATTTTTCCCCTTATGAATTTTACACACAAATGTACATTATTACAAATTATTACAAATTACATGCATTGCCAATTATTATTATTATTATTATTATTTGAAAACTGAACAAAAGAAGAAAGGAAACTAGTGAAAACAAACTAAAAGTCCTTGATAATGAAACTAACTAAACAGAACCATGACATTATTATTATCATATATAATTAGTATTATTTATTTGTTTGGTTGTTTAAAATACTATTAATTTATATTTTGTTATGCCTTGATAAGTATATTACATACAGGGGCCACACAGTTGTCAATATTTGTATATTAAGGATACTTAAAAATGCCTAAAATTCATTGTATCGCAAACAACATATCAAAACATCTGACTGAAAAAAAAACATAATATTTTCTGTAGTGAACAAATTTTTCTGTAGTGAACAAATTTATCTTGTCTAAAGGACTTAGACAATGTTCCAATTGTTTTTTTTTTCTTTCAAAAATAATACTTGTATTTTTCCCCTTATGAATTTTACACACAAATGTACATTATTACAAATTATTACAAATTACATGCATTGCCAATTATTATTATTATTATTATTATTTGAAAACTGAACAAAAGAAGAAAGGAAACTAGTGAAAACAAACTAAAAGTCCTTGATAATGAAACTAACTAAACAGAACCATGACATTATTATTATCATATATAATTAGTATTATTTATTTGTTTGGTTGTTTAAAATACTATTAATTTATATTTTGTTATGCCTTGATAAGTATATTACATACAGGGGCCACACAGTTGTCAATATTTGTATATTAAGGATACTTAAAAATGCCTAAAATTCATTGTATCGCAAACAACATATCAAAACATCTGACTGAAAAAAAAACATAATATTTTCTGTAGTGAACAAATTTTTCTGTAGTGAACAAATTTATCTTGTCTAAAGGACTTAGACAATGTTCCAATTGTTTTTTTTTTCTTTCAAAAATAATACTTGTATTTTTCCCCTTATGAATTTTACACACAAATGTACATTATTACAAATTATTACAAATTACATGCATTGCCAATTATTATTATTATTATTATTATTTGAAAACTGAACAAAAGAAGAAAGGAAACTAGTGAAAACAAACTAAAAGTCCTTGATAATGAAACTAACTAAACAGAACCATGACATTATTATTATCATATATAATTAGTATTATTTATTTGTTTGGTTGTTTAAAATACTATTAATTTATATTTTGTTATGCCTTGATAAGTATATTACATACAGGGGCCACACAGTTGTCAATATTTGTATATTAAGGATACTTAAAAATGCCTAAAATTCATTGTATCGCAAACAACATATCAAAACATCTGACTGAAAAAAAAACATAATATTTTCTGTAGTGAACAAATTTTTCTGTAGTGAACAAATTTATCTTGTCTAAAGGACTTAGACAATGTTCCAATTGTTTTTTTTTTCTTTCAAAAATAATACTTGTATTTTTCCCCTTATGAATTTTACACACAAATGTACATTATTACAAATTATTACAAATTACATGCATTGCCAATTATTATTATTATTATTATTATTTGAAAACTGAACAAAAGAAGAAAGGAAACTAGTGAAAACAAACTAAAAGTCCTTGATAATGAAACTAACTAAACAGAACCATGACATTATTATTATCATATATAATTAGTATTATTTATTTGTTTGGTTGTTTAAAATACTATTAATTTATATTTTGTTATGCCTAATGGCACTCTGTGGACAGAGGATGGCCCCCGGATAAGGTGATAAAGCGAGGGTGTAACTTTAGATAATGTATCTGAGTCTGTGGACTTCCCTACCCACACTATCTTTCTGCAAATTATTTTCCATTATACTGCTATCGATTGGCTAGAGGTAATGGCAATTGGAATCATAACCTGAGGCATAACTACATTCCAGTGCAGGAAATGTTGATTGGAGGAAAGGAACAGAAGCGCTTAGGAAACATTTTCTGGGTTTCAGCTTTGAAAAGGCTTTGTATTTTTGTTTCACCAGGGACTGTAGAAAGAACAGTTTTACTCTCTCTCTCTCTCTCTCTCTCTCTAATTGTAGCATAACTATGGTGGCTTGGGGTGGGACATATCGAAGAGCTTGGCCAATGACGTTCAGTTTGTCCTAATCTCAGAGTTCAGGGTGGGTCTGTCTTAAAAGGTTTATATGTTAATGTTAAAAACTATTTCTTTCTGGAAAATGTGTAGGATTGTTTACTTCTGGAAACCTACTGCTATATTGGCACATCTCTGCAACACAGATGATTAGGAAGCGTGGGATAATTGGGGTTGATGGTAGGCCGGTGCTGATCCAGGCCAGATTATAGGTAGAGAAAAGAAATGTGATAATGTTAGTGTCGCTGAAATAAACTCTTTCCAGAGTTCATCACGCTCTCTCTCTCTGCAGTTGCTGCAGTTAGTATAAAGGGCACCTGTGTTGATTTACTGTCAAATCTTCCAGGATTATCTGTAATCCTGGAGCTTCAAAATCTGTTTGCTGACAGCTGTGTTCTCTAACAGAACTGCTGTTTGCTGCACACATAGTGTCCTATATAGCAGAAAAAGCTCTTTATTTAAGGAGGAAAAGAAGGAAAAAGCCTTTTAATTTTCTGCTTGAGTGAATTTCAATTTACAGTTCTTCTCGGTTTGTATTGTGTTGTATTTGGCTATAATGCATAGCTGACTCTATATTTGAGTCTTTGCCTTGGTAAATGGGCACAATATCACAGCACATCCTTTGAATGTCTTCTAATGTATTCTAGTGTATCGCGGATTTTGCTTTTCAATAGCTGTGTTATTTTCACCTATAGGTCCAGGGCATATACTGTAATTTATAAAACGGACTTAGACAATGTTCCAATTGGTTTTTTTTTCTTTCAAAAATAATACTTGTAAATTTGTAAACCCCTTATGAATTTTACACACAAATGTACATTATTACAAATTATTACAAATTACATGCATTGCCAATTATTATTATTATTATTATTATTATTATTATTATTATTATTATTATTATTATTATTATTATTATTATTATTATTATTATTATTATTATTATTATTATTATTATTATTATTATTATTATTATTATTATTATTATTATTATTATTATTATTATTATTATTATTTGAAAACTGAACAAAAGAAGAAAGGAAACTAGTGAAAACAAACTAAAAGTCCTTGATAATGAAACTAACTAAACAGAACCATGACATTATTATTATCATATATAATTAGTATTATTTATTTGTTTGGTTGTTTAAAATACTATTAATTTATATTTTGTTATGCCTTGATAAGTATATTACATACAGGGGCCACACAGTTGTCAATATTTTTATATTAAGGATACTTAAAAATGCCTAAAATTCATTGTATCGCAAACAACATATCAAAACATCTGACTGAAAAAAAAACATAATATTTTCTGTAGTGAACAAATTTTTCTGTAGTGAACAAATTTATCTTGTCTAAAGGACTTAGACAATGTTCCAATTGTTTTTTTTTTCTTTCAAAAATAATACTTGTATTTTTCCCCTTATGAATTTTACACACAAATGTACATTATTACAAATTATTACAAATTACATGCATTGCCAATTATTATTATTATTATTATTATTTGAAAACTGAACAAAAGAAGAAAGGAAACTAGTGAAAACAAACTAAAAGTCCTTGATAATGAAACTAACTAAACAGAACCATGACATTATTATTATCATATATAATTAGTATTATTTATTTTTTTGGTTGTTTAAAATACTATTAATTTATATTTTGTTATGCCTTGATAAGTATATTACATACAGGGGCCACACAGTTGTCAATATTTGTATATTAAGGATACTTAAAAATGCCTAAAATTCAATTGTATCGCAAACAACATATCAAAACATCTGACAGAAAAAAAAACAATCTTTTCTGTAGTGAACAAATTTATCTGAGCCATTTTTCCAATGACTTCTAACCCGATGGATTTAGTGGATTAAGTAACTACCCCTTGAGTTAGCATAACCACAGGTGTAGTTTTTACTTTGGTATAGTCAAAATAAAAAAAAATAAATGGCAAAGGCTGTTGGGGAAAGTTGTGGCCTAATGGTTAGAGAGTCGGACTCGTAACCCAAAGGTTCGAGTCTCGTACCGGCAGGGATTGTAGGTGGGGGGAGTGAATGTACAGCGCTCTCTCCCACCTTCAATACCACGACTGAGGTGCCCTTGAGCAAGGCATCGAACCCCCAACTGCTCCCTGGCCGCCGCAGCAAAAATGGCTGCCCACTGCTCTGGGTGTGTGTTCACTGCTGTGTGTGTGCACTTTGGATGGGTTAAATGCAGAGCACTAATTCTGAGTATGGGTCACCATACTTGGCCACATGTCACGTCACTCACACTCACTCACTAATTTTTAGGTTGTCCTATACTCATTTGCAATTGCCCATGATGTGTTTCTCCAATTCTAGGTGGTCTACAAAAACAACGATATACGACTGGAACTCTCTCGCCTGGCCCGCATCGCAGACCCCAAAATGAAGCTACAAGGGGACGTGGTGTTTAAATGTGAGAATGTCCCCACCCTAGACCCTATCTCTTTTGAGACACCAGAATCCTTCCTCAGCCTGCCCAAGTGGAACACCAAGCGTGTGGGCTCCATTTCCTTTGACTTTCGCACCTCAGAGCCCAACGGACTAATCCTTTTTACGCAAGGTAAGCCCCAGGACAAGAAAGATGCTCGTAGCCAGAGGAGCAACAAAGTGGACTTCTTCGCTGTGGAACTTCTAGATGGAAATCTCTATCTTCTGCTGGACATGGGATCAGGAACTATTAAAGTCAAAGCCACACAGAGTAAGGTTAATGACGGAGCATGGCACCATGTGGACATCCAGAGAGATGGAAGATCAGGTGAGCAGATTCATTTTCTCCAGAACATCAGCGATCTTAAAAGTAAAGTGTTGTTTTGCACCAAACTTTGCAAAGAACTTGAATCCTTCAGATCTGCATGACGCTCAATGAGTTTGTTTGATAAAATATTGTTTAAATTAATCATTTTTCCAAAGCACTAAAGTACTTGAGGATGTGCCATGTTGTAATTTTTTTTTTGTGTGTGTCATGCCTAACGACACCATTTAGACGACTATATTCACAATATTTTTTGCTTAACTGTGGTGCTTAAAAAGTTTCCATTTTGGCATCAGACTGTCAAATTTGTAAGAGTTTTGGGGTAACTTCTGCAAAGTTTTAAAAAGACATCTAAATTGCCAACATATTGTCTGTAAAAAGAAGTCAATAATGTAGCACTTTCATCTACGAAAATAATCTATTCTCAATTGTAACTTAATGACATCATTCCTTTCTAAACTTCTCTGTATTAAGCACTCTTATTAGGCTTGATTCTAAATCATTTTCACAGCAGACAACAAAGTGAACAAAGTGACTTCAATAAAAAGTCATCTAGCATAATAAATGTATGGATTTTTTTTTTCTTGAGCACAGGATAAATGTTCTGTGGAAGACTACAATGTGGATTTAGAGCTTTCATCATCGTGTTGTCAGAGAATGGACACTTCTCCATATTAAAGTCACAAGAGGGTGGCTCTTATTTTATGCCTCTGGTCATGTTATACAGAGCAGTCCAAAAGTCTGAGACAGCGCTTAAAATCTGACATTTCTTTCATTTAAATGAACAGAAAGCTTTTGGGTTATGAACATTTTTGAACAAATATATACATACATGGTTAATGGTCGCATTGGCATGCTGGTAAACAAATCAAATATTTCAAATGTAAAAATTTAGATAAGTTAGGTCATAAGTAATCTAAAAGTAATCCAAAAGTAGTCAGAATACATTATGTTAAAAGAGTCATCTAAATTACATTACTGACTACAGTTTTCATCATGTGATAATTTGTAATCAATAACAGACTACAATTTGTAAGACATTTTCCAGCACTATATATGTAGGGGCAACTTTTTATAATTAACTTATAATTGTAATTTTATTTAAAATTAAATCAACATCAACCAAAGCCATCTGTACATTTCAAAGCTGGACATGACATTTATGTTTATTTACACAGGCTGTTCATAATAATGTAAATAATAAAAAAAAAATGCTTGATGCTGAAATAATGCTTGCTTTTCACATTTCATTTTAATCACAACAGTCGGAATAGTTTTGGTGAATAGGTTGTTTTATCTGTCCATGGATGGTGATTGGCTCCTTGTCTGATTAATAGTCATCATACAACTTGTATTTCTCAGCAAAAAAGGGCAGAGACAAATATATAGACATGTGGGTGTCGAGAGACCAAGAATACTCGCATAATAAAGACCAGTAGAGGAACTCAGAATGCCTTCTCAATCTGCCAGTGCCTCCACACTGAACTATTGATGTTTCTATTCTGAAACTCCTGCCTGCCTGTATCCTTTAGTACATCATTGTGTCAGAGCACTTTAACACAAACACACACACACACACACACACACACACACACACACACA